CCACCATCAACACCAACACCACCATCAACACCAACACCACCATCAACACCAACACCATCAACACCAACACCACCATCAACACCAACACCACCATCAACACCAACACCACCATCAACACCAACACCACCATCAACACCAACACCACCATCAACACCAACACCACCATCAACACCACCATCAACACCAACACCACCATCAACACCAACACCACCAACACCAACACCACCAACAACACCAACACCACCATCAACACCAACACCACCATCAACACCAACACCATCAACACCAACACCATCAACACCAACACCATCAACACCAACACCACCATCAACACCAACACCACCATCAACACCAACACCACCATCAACACCAACACCACCATCAACACCAACACCACCATCAACACCAACACCACCATCAACACCAACACCACCATCAACACCAACACCACCATCAACACCAACACCACCATCAACACCAACACCACCATCAACACCAACACCACCATCAACACCAACACCACCATCAACACCAACACTACCATCAACACCAACACTACCATCAACACCAACACCACCAATCAACACCAACACCACCAACAACACCAACACCACCATCAACACCAACACCACACACCATCAACACCACCACCATCAACACCACCACCACCAACACCAACACCATCACCAACACCATCACCATCACCACCCCAAACCCCATCACCATCACCACCCCAAACCCCATCATAAACACCACAAACCCCATCACCATAAACACCACAAACCCCATCACCATAAACACCACAAACCCCATCACCATCAACACCACAAACCCCATCACCATAAACACCACAAACCCCATCACCATAAACACCACAAACCCCATCACCATAAACACCACAAACCCCATCACCATAAACACCACAAACCCCATCACCATAAACACCACAAACCCCATCACCATAAACAACCACAAACCCCATCACCATAAACACCACAAACCCCATCACCATCAACACCATCAACACCATCACCATAAACACCACAAACCCCATCACCATAAACACCACAAACCCCATCACTATAAACACCACAAACCCCATCACTATAAACACCACAAACCCCCATCACTATAAACACCACAAACCCCCATCACTATAAACACCACAAACCCCCATCACTATAAACACCACAAACCCCCATCACTATAAACACCACAAACCCCCATCACTATAAACACCACAAACCCCCATCACTATAAACACCACAAACCCCCATCACTATAAACACCACAAACCCCCATCACTATAAACACCACAAACCCCCATCACTATAAACACCACAAACCCCCGTCACTATAAACACCACAAACCCCCATCACTATAAACACCACAAACCCCCATCACTACCATCACCACGAGCATCATCACCACCACAAACACCACCAGCATCAGCATCACCACAAACACCACCAGCATCAACATCACCACAAACACCACCAGCATCAGCATCACCACAAACACCACCAGCATCAGCATCACCACAAACACCACCAGCATCAGCATCACCACAAACACCACCAGCATCAGCATCACCACAAACACCACCAGCATCAGCATCACCACAAACACCACCAGCATCAGCATCACCACAAACACCACCAGCATCAGCATCACCACAAACACCACCAGCATCATCACCACCACAAACACCACCAGCATCATCACCACAAACACCACCAGCATCAGCATCACCACAAACACCACCAGCATCAGCATCACCACAAACACCATCACCATCAGCATCACCACAAACACCATCACCATCAGCATCACCACAAACACCATCACCATCACCGACACCACAAACACCATCACCGACACCACAAACCGTCATCATTACCATCACCGACACCACAATACCGTCATCATTACCATCACCCACACCACAATACCGTCATCATTACCATCACCGACACCACAAACACCATCATCACCCACACCACAAACACCATCACCCACACCACAAACACCATGACCAACACCAACACCATCGCCACTACGAACCACCAACCACTACCATGACAACCACAAGCCACAACCACGTTTACAGCAAACCATTCAAGACCACCTGCTTGTCAGAAAAGAGAGGAGAGAGAAAAACAGTTGTAAGAGGAGAGGAAATCGGGTAAAAATCGAGAACGGTGACGAAAAAAAAAGCCAGGAATGAGTTAACGGAGGTATTAACGTGATAAAAAAAAACGAAATTGGAAGCGAGTTTATAGGAAAGCGAGCGCTGGTTTTATTTAAAAAATGAGATTTTTTTTTGTTTTGTTGATATGAAGTCTTTTTTTCAAGTTTGGCGCTACAAAGAATACGAGATAATTTACACATCCAGTGCCTTTATCTCACAACGTACCGTATCTTGAGTTGTGTGCGACTCGGGTTTCATTTTCTTCTCGTTAACAGTAGCCAGCATGAGGTAAATGTTCCATGAAGTCTAAACAATCGTTGTCTTGTGGGGTGTGGGGGTGTGGGGGTGTGGGGGTGATTTTTTTTTATGCAGGTGGAGGGTATTAAGATTCCCCAAGAATTTTTAGAAATCAGTGGTAGAGGAAGAGGAGGAGGAGGAGGAATGCTTTCTCTCTGAATCGGGTTGGGAGTAGCAGGTAGCTAGCGGAGAGAGGGCGCAGGAAGTCATGAAGTGGGTTATGGTTGCTTCGTTTGTGGTGGTGGCTTTGAGGCTAGAGCGATCGCTGGGCAGCTGTGACAGTCCACGCTGAGCCCACCTTCGTATTTTGCAGGAGGTGGTCGTCTCTGGGGATGGCTGCGGGGCTTCAGGAGGCGTGTTGGTGTGCCCCGTGTGTGGCAAGACGGCCCAAGGGCGGAACCGCCGACAGAACATGGACAACCACATGCTTACCCACACGGGGGAGCGGCCCTTTCAATGCTCAATGTGCCCGTACCGCGCCTCTCAGCAGGGCAACCTTAAGCGGCACCTCCGCGCGGTCCACAAGCAGGCGTCAGACGACCTGTGCGGAGGGCCGCCGCACTACCAGGAACTCGGCCCCTCGCTCATGCTGCACAGAAACGCCCCGCAGATCCAGTCCGGACAGAGCTATGACTCGGCACTGCAGAGCACTCGGGGCGAGCAGGCGCACTCGGATACGCAGGCCGGCGGGTCCGTGCGGGAGGACGATCCTCCCTTCGGATTGCACTTGCGCCTCAAAAACGACCCGGAAATGTCCGTGGCTGCGACCCAGCCGGAGTCTGGCATCTGAGTGCGCGTGCCGCCCGGCGGAGTCCTCGGGCCCGGCGTGCAGGCCTTCGTTGAACGCGGTTGTTCGGCTTGCATGAAGAGTGCACATGGACCGCCACGACCACTGCCACAGCGGGTCTAACGACCTTCTCTTCTGTATGGTGCTTAGAGGAAATGTTGCTTGTAGAAATTGCATTTACCTAATTTAGTTCGGGAGAGCGGCCGTTCCTCAGAGGTGCCGACGGTGACCGTAGCTGCTGACGACTCAGATACAAGTAGTTCCGAATAATCCCTCTTGGAGGTAGCGACGCAGAAGGCTTGGCGGGCGCGGAGCGGAGGACGCTGGGAGACTGAGCGAGACTGAGCGAGGTGTTGTTTGTGTTGCAGGAAGGTGCGCAAGGGGAGCTGGAGGGTGAAGCGGGCGTGTCGACGCGCAGGCTGCCCTGCCCTAGGTGTTCCAAAGTCTTCCACGGGGCAAAACGGAAGTACCGGCTCGACAGGCACATGCTGGTTCATTGGGGATTGAAGCCTTTCGAATGCCCTCACTGCTCGTACCGCTCTAGTCAGCTGGGCAACCTCACTAGGCACATAAAGAACGTTCATGCTCAGAGACCGACCTTAGATAGCGGAGACCCGCAGGCGACAAGTTCCCCTTTCCATGACAGAGCCACTTCGCGTATGTATGAGGTTGACGAGTGTCTGCAAGAAATTTACTTAAACCCAAATAACCAGAGCGTAGAAGAGACATCGTCTGTAACGTGAGTCGTCAGGACAGAGACGTAAAACAGGGCAGAAAAAAACAGGTAGACAAAGAGACAAAAAACTGTAAGGAACCTATTAACATTGCTGTGAGACGTGGAGTGCATTTGAGAATGTATGTTTTAAAAGCTTATATAAAAGGAAACAAAGTAGAGTATGCATCTGTATAGAATTGGTGATGATTGCATTCATAAACCAGGTGATTTGTGCAGAGCAGCAATTAGCTGTCACTAACAATGCACGGATGTTGAGTGAGGCCATCAAGTTGCCAAGTGTGGGCATGCTCACTGCCGACCTTGCTGAGGCTGTTCGCAGCTCTTGAGTCGTGCCCTGACCATGGCCTGGTGTGTTGCAGGCGGCGCTCATCGAGGTGGAGGCGGTGTTGGCAGATGAAGATGACGAGGAGTTGGTGCCCGAAGACATTGCGGTGGATGGAATGTGCGGGGACTCCACGCCGGCGTCCTCATGCCGGGTCTGCGGCAAGGTGTTTAAGGGCACCAAGCGCAAGTACCGCCTGGAGCGTCACATGGCCATCCACACGGGCGAAAAACCCTTTCCCTGCCCCATGTGTGAATACCGTGCGAATCAGAAGGAACATCTCAACAGGCATATGAGAAACCTGCACAGGGTCCTGGTGTCCCAGGGACCAGACCACACGCACCACGCTCACGCAGCTGCCACCTGATCACATACCACTCTAAAGGTCGGAACTACACCTTTGTCTTTTAAAATACTCCTTGATATAGCTTCCCCCAAACAAAAGATTTAATAAGATATCTGATTATGCCCGATACTTGATTTGGTTTTTCACTTGTTTATATCAAAAAGATCCAGCCAGAGAATGATTTACCTGTTGTATACACTAAGACAGTAGTCCCGGAGCTATGGCAGCATCATGTTATCATTGTAGGGCTCCGCGTAGCATGGGCAACGTGTTAAAAGCTAAAAGAAGCGAGTCTCTAGGTCGTGGCTTCTCCATTGCAGGATTCGGAGGACGGAGTGGATCGCTGTGCCCTTTGCGGCAAAGAGTTCACGGGGAAGAACAGGCGAAATAACCTGGTCCGCCACGTGAAGACCCACACGGGGGAGAAACCATTCTCGTGTCCCTGTTGCCCCTACCGTGCATCGCGCAAGGAGCACATGATCCGACACTTAAAGAAGGGATCCTGCGTCTACCACCGATTTCGAGTCGGGGAGGAGGGGGCCGAGGGGTCCAAAGAGGACGCTGGGGTCAAGGCGGTCGTCGGCATGTACCTGGCGCAGCTCTCCGCCCAGCCCGGCGCGCAGCCCAGCCGCCCGCCCGAGACCGAGCCGGATGTTGCTAGTTCATAATTCAACAAAAGACTTCTTTCAATCTTTTTTTTTTAAACTTTTTTATTTATTGTATTGAATATCATACTCCTTTGCTGCTGCTGTGCACGCAAGAATTTCTTTTACATAGTCAAGTAATGTTGAGGCTTCCTACATAAAGATGTTCTTAATTTTTTACATATAAGTACTGATACGCTCTCCCTTTTTAATTTGGAAATATGTATAGTATTTTTAATGTTAAAACAAAAGTGATTGTCACTGGGAAATGTCATGTAAATAAGCTTAAGTGATAAGCATTCCTGATTGTTGTTCTCCTCTCGCATTATGATAACATTCCTGAAGAACAAACAGGTGACTTTTTAATGGATCTGTAATGGAGAGGCAAAGGAATTTTGTATTTTCCAAAAATCATGCTGATGATAAAACTATTTATGTAATTGTGAGGTCGTGATATATATATATCAAAACAACCGCTTTAGTTTTTTTCCTTATAGTAAGCCGTTTGTGTAGCTTTTTTGGGACAATAAAGAATTACATTTGTATATCGACCCCCGGATCTTTCCTTCTCCTACATATAAATATAGACCTATGTCTCTCTCTCTCTCTCGTCTACCCTCTGTCTCTCTCTCTCTCTCTCTTCTACCCTCTGTCTCTCTCTCTCTCTCTCTTCTACCCTCTGTCTCTCTCTCTCTCTCTTCTACCCTCTGTCTCTCTCTCTCTCTCTCTTCTACCCTCTGTCTCTCTCTCTCTCTCTCTTCTACCCTCTGTCTCTCTCTCTCTCTCTCTTCTACCCTCTGTCTCTCTCTCTCTCTCTCTCTTCTACCCTCTGTCTCTCTCTC